TGCATGCCCGCATGCCCCAGAAGCTCGACAGCCAGTTCACCCAGATTGTCGATCGTGCCAGAGGCCGCTCTGGGGAGTTCCCCGCCAAGGCCCTTAGCAAGGCTTTCAGCAAGTTCCTCGAGGATAATGTTGAGGCAGGCGATGCTAGCCTACTCAGGGCAACTCTTGCACCTCTTACCCAGGTGCTTGATGATTACGCCGAGGGCCAGAAGGTTCGGGAACTCAGCGTCATCAACGGGCTTCTCGAGACCTACTGGGAGGTTGAGAAGCTGTTCCAGAGCCGTGCTCAGGAAGATGCCGTCATCCTGAAGCTCCGAGACCAGAACAAGGACAGCCTGGCCAAGGTTGTGCAGATTGTTCTCTCGCACAGCCGCATGAGCTCCAAGAACTCTCTCGTCATTGCCATTCTCGACGAGTACCGCCCCAACAAGCCCAACGTTGGAAACATCAGCAAGTTTCTGCGCGAGTCGCTTCGCAAGCTGACTGAGCTGTCCTCCCGAGCCACCTCCAAGGTCTCGCTCAAGGCCCGTGAGATTATGATTCAGTGCTCCCTGCCTTCTCTTGAGGAGCGTACCTCTCAGATGGAGCACATCCTGCGATCATCCGTCGTCGAATCTCGCTATGGTGAGAGCGGTTGGGACCACCGTGAGCCCAGCTTCGATGTGATCAAGGAGGTCGTCGATTCCAAGTACACCGTCTTCGACGTCTTGACATCCTTCTTCGCTCACGACGATCCTTGGGTCTCATTGGCATCCCTCGAAGTCTACGTCCGCCGTGCTTACCGTGCGTACATCCTTCAGCAGATTGAGTACCACAACGACGAGGCCGAGAACCCTCTCTTCGTCTCTTGGGACTTCCAACTGCGAAAGCTTGGACAAACCGAGTTTGGTGTCCCTGTTCAATCTGCTGCTCCCTCCATGCCTGGCACTCCTAGCGAAGTTGAGCCTAAATTCAACCGCATCAACTCCATCAGCGACATGTCCTATCTCACCAGCAAGTGGGACAGTGGCCCGTCTCGCAAGGGTGTCATTGTTCCTGTCAAGTACATTGACGATGCTGAGGAGCTGCTCCAGAAGGCTTTGGAGACACTGACCTTCTACAACCAGCAGAAGCGACAGAGCAGCACATCAAGTCTTCTTGCTGACCTGAGCGGAAAGCGAAAGCCTTTTGCGGCTCTCAAGAAGGAGTTCCAGAGCCGCAACAACGGTGATGAGCTATCTGCTGTCATCAACGTGGCTGTTCGCGACGCCGAGAGCAAGGATGATGCCGAGACCCTCGCTCGCATCTTGCCCATCGTCCAGGGCCTCAAGAGTGAGCTCTTGATCCGCGGTGTCCGCCGTCTCACCTTCATCTGCGGTCGCAGCGACTGCTCTTACCCTGGCTACTACACCTTCCGAGGCCCCGACTACGAGGAAGACGACAGCATCCGTCACAGTGAGCCCGCCTTGTCCTTCCAGCTTGAGCTTGCCCGTCTCGCCAACTTCCGCATCAAGCCCATGTTCACCGAGAACAAGAACATTCACGTGTACGAGGCTGTTGGAAAGACTGTCGACTCTGATAAGCGCTACTTCACCCGTGCTGTGATTCGACCTGGCCGTCTTCGTGACGAGATCCCTACTGCCGAGTACCTCATCTCAGAGGCCGACCGTGTCATCAACGACATTTTCGATGCCCTTGAGATTATTGGCAACAACAACTCCGATCTCAACCACATCTTCATGAACTTCACCCCCGTCTTCCCGCTCGACCCGGCTACCGTCGAACAGTCCCTCCAGGGCTTCTTGGATCGTTTCGGTGCTCGTGCCTGGAGACTGCGTGTCGCCCAGGTCGAAATTCGCATTGTTTGCACCGACCCCAAGTCGGGTATCCCTTACCCTCTTCGCGTCACCATCACCAACACATCCGGTTATGTCGTTGACGTCGACCTGTACGCTGAGCGCAAGTCTGACAAGGGCGACTGGGTCTTCCACAGCATTGGCGGAACCAAGGACAAGGGCCCTATGCACTTGCTCTCCGTCTCTACGCCTTATGCCACCAAGAACTGGCTCCAGCCCAAGCGATACAAGGCTCACTTGATGGGCACCCAGTACGTGTACGACTTCCCCGAGTTGTTCCGCCAGGCCATCCAGAACAGCTGGGTCAAGGCTGTTAAGAAGCAGCCTGCTCTGGCCGCTCAGCAGCCCAAGGTCGGTGACTGTATTACATTCACGGAACTTGTGGTTGACGACAAGGACAACCTCGACGAGGTCAACCGTGAACCTGGCACCAACACTTGCGGTATGGTTGGATGGATCATCAAGGCTAGAACTCCCGAGTACCCCACCGGCCGTCGCTTCATTGTTGTCGCCAACGACATCACCTACAAGATTGGTTCGTTTGGCCCCAAAGAAGATGACTTCTTCCACAAGTGCACGCAGCTGGCTCGCAAGCTCGGAATTCCTCGCATCTACCTGTCTGCCAACTCGGGTGCTCGCCTGGGTCTCGCAGACGAGCTGATGCCTCACTTCAAGGTCGCATGGAACGATGCCACCAAGCACGAGGGAGGATTCCGCTACCTGTACTTGGATGAGAAGATTAAGCAGCTCTACAAGGACGAGGTTATCACTGAGGAAGTGGTCGAGAATGGTGAGAAGCGACACAAGATTGTCACCATCATTGGAAGGGAGGATGGTCTTGGTGTTGAGTGCTTGAGGGGATCCGGTCTTATTGCCGGTGCCACCAGCCAGGCTTACAACGACATCTTTACCATTACCTTGGTCACCTGCCGCTCAGTCGGTAAGTATTTTTGCAATCTGTTTCTATCCTTGGATGTATTTGACTAATGTTTCTTGTTCCCAGGTATCGGTGCTTACCTTGTCCGTCTTGGCCAGCGTGCTGTCCAGATTGAGGGCCAGCCCATCATCCTTACTGGTGCTCCCGCTCTGAACAACCTGCTTGGTCGTGAGGTTTACTCATCCAACCTTCAGCTTGGTGGCACTCAGATCATGTACCGCAACGGTGTCTCACACATGACTGCCAACGATGACTTTGAGGGTGTCTCCAAGATTGTTGAGTGGATGGCATTTGTGCCTGAGAAGCGTGGCGGTCCTGTTCCCGTCATCCCAAGCATTGACGGCTGGGATCGTGACATTTCTTACCACCCTCCCCAGAAGCAGCCTTATGATGTTCGGTGGATGATTGGCGGTAAGCAGGAAGACGACGGTTCTTTCCAGAGCGGTCTGTTCGACAAGGACTCCTTCGTTGAGGCCCTTGGCGGCTGGGCCCGAACCGTCGTGGTTGGTCGCGCTCGTCTTGGCGGTATTCCCATGGGTGTTATCGCTGTTGAGACTCGCAGCGTTGAGAACATTACGCCTGCTGATCCCGCCAACCCCGACTCTATCGAGCAGATCACCAACGAAGCTGGTGGTGTCTGGTACCCCAACTCTGCCTTCAAGACTGCCCAGGCCATCAACGACTTCAACAACGGTGAACAGCTTCCTCTCATGATCCTGGCCAACTGGCGTGGTTTCTCCGGTGGTCAGCGAGACATGTACAACGAGGTGCTCAAGTATGGTTCATTCATTGTTGATGCCCTGGTCAAGTACGAGCAGCCCATCTTTGTGTACATTCCTCCCTTTGGTGAGCTCCGTGGTGGTTCATGGGTCGTTGTTGACCCTACTATCAATCCTACTGCTATGGAGATGTACGCTGATAACGAGGCTCGCGGTGGTGTCCTTGAGCCCGATGGTATGATTGGTATCAAGTACCGCAAGGACAAGCAGCTGGAGACCATGGCTCGTCTGGATCCTACCTACGCCGAGCTCAAGAAGAAGCTGGAGGACAAGGCTCTCCCCAGCGATGAGGCCGAGAAGATTAAGCTGCAGCTTACCATTCGCGAGAAGCAGCTGCTGCCCATCTACTCACAAATTGCTGTGCAGTTCGCTGATCTGCACGACCGTGCCGGCCGCATGAAGGCCAAGGGTGTCGTCCGTGACTCTCTGGACTGGAGCAATGCCCGCCGATACTTCTACTGGCGTCTGCGCAGACGTCTTAACGAGGAGTACATCCTCAAGCGCATGAACACCAGCTTCCTGCCCACTCCTCAGCTGAACACTGCCAAGGCCAACGAAGCTCGCTCCAAGGGCCTGGGCCTGCTCGAGAGCTGGTCTGGCATTGTCGGCTGGGACCGCAAGGACCAGGAGGTTGCCGAGTGGTACGAGAAGGAGACCCAGTCCATTGGCCAGAAGGTCGAGGCCCTCAAGGCCGACAAGCTTGCAGCTGAGCTGTCTGAGGTTGTGCGCAGCAATGAGAAGGCTGGCTGGAAGGGTGTTCGCGAGGTTCTGCGGGTTATGCCTGTGGAGGAGCGGGAGGCTATCCTCAAGTACTTGAAGGAGTAAAATGTTTAATGATATAAAATAATTGGGATGGGTAGAGTTGGGCATAGTGTTTTAGAAGCGGGTGTATGGGTTATGTTTTGATGTTTTACGATAGATACAATTTATGAGTTTTCAAGTTCAACAAACTATGTCTCTTGTGTGAAGTTTTGGCCACAAACGCGTATTTCTTCTCTGACAGATGTATAAATGGGAAGACTGAAGTAAATAAAGAGAGTGGTTCATAGATCATTATCGCCGTGTCCCTGAAATCTTCTTGACCACCTGCATCATCTACACAACTCAATAGTTAACCGTTGTTACAATCTGCATGTTTGCTCCACGCTTGTATATCCAATAGATGTGGTGTGACGATAAAAACGTTTAGCCTTTTTTGTGTGCATTGTATACTTAATACGAGTACTGAAGTTGATTGGTTGGTAGACAAAAACGGCCGAACTACAAATTGTCAAATCATATTTATATCCTCACCAATCCCATATGGTTATCACTTTAAGGGCAGGGTATCCAATTGGTTGATAATAAGCCAATTATACCTGCAGCATGAAGTGGTTGCCTTGCCATTCTACTGGCCGCGGCTCATTATTTGATGCAGAGCGGTGGCCGATTTCACCCTGCGCCTTTCCCCTCTTCTCATCGAAGGGTATATTTCTTACCTGTTTAGCAAATTGCAATCGAAATCTTTCGTTTTCTTTCTCAACTGAGGGAAAATTTCCTTTCGCTCTCACGCAAATAAATATTAATACCCTGGCAGCGTTCACTGCGGCTTGAAAATGGCACCAGAGAAGAGGTCTCATGACGACTATAGTGTCGGATGGATATGCGCTTTACCAAAGGAACAGACGGCCGCGACGGCCATGCTAGACGAGAGACATCCAGATCTATCAAAGCCTATGAATGACACAAACACCTACACGCTCGGCTCAATCGGGTCGCACAATGTTGTTATAGCTTGCTTGCCTAAAGGGCAATATGGTAACAATTCTGCGGCGAATGTCGCGACACTCATGATTAGAGCATTTCCTTCTATCAAGGTCGGTCTTTTGGTTGGCATTGGTGGGGGTGTACCGATGAAAGTGAGGCTTGGCGATGTTGTCGTCAGTACCCCAAGCGGCCAATATCCCGGAGTCGTCCAGTGGGATCTTGGTAAAGCGACAGAGGGTGGTAAATTTGAGAGGACTGGGGCTTTGAGTAATCCACCAAGTTCTCTTTTAACCGCCTTGGGCAGGCTAGAGACGGAATATGAGCTGAAAGGATCGAAAATCCCCAGCTTCCTAGAAGAGCTCAAGGCGAGGTATCCAAGGTTGGCAAAGAAATACCTGAAATCTGCTTCACTTCAAGATCTGCGTTTTAGAGCAGATTACGCCCACATTCATGAGCCGTTTATGAACACGCAAGGTGCTACTGATGGCATTGTCGAGTCGTCGCTGAATGAAGATGACGGAGTAGATGACGAATGCGAAGAGTCATGCGCGTTTTGTGATAAAAGCAAGACCGTGAAGAGAAAGGCCCGATCGATGAGAGTTCATCATGGACTCATCGCGTCTGGAAATAAAGTAGTTAAGGATGCTTTACTTCGAGATGAGGTGAATAGATCGCTTGGAGGAGACGTGCTTTGTTTTGAGATGGAGGCAGCTGGATTGATGAACAATTTCCCTTGCTTAGTGATTCGGGGCATCTGCGACTATTGCGATTCACATAAGAACAAAGCCTGGCAAGAACATGCTGCGGCGGTGGCAGCGGCATTTGCTAAAGAGGTGCTCGGTTGTATTCAACATACCGATGTCAAGAATGAACAACTCATCAGCGACGCGATGAACGAGGGTTAGTGCTTTCTTTTCACTGCTTGCTTAAACTTATATATCTGAGTTTCTAAACAATACCCGAATCAGTGAAGCAAGACATTCGGCTTGTACATGAGGTAGCCATAAAAACGAAAAATCATTTGGATACTCTTCTTGATGGTATGGTTGAACTACTCCCCCATACCTTTCAGATGAATGCTTATGCTAAGAGGTGCGAAGATAATGCACTCAAGAAGCAAACAGAAACTCTCGCTTGGCTAAGCCCTCTGGAATTTCCTCCACTGCAGCATGAATATCTTAGGAAATGCGCACCTGATACTGGCCATGAGTTTGTAAAGTCAGACGAGGTTCAAAGTTGGATGTCAACATGCAATCAAACCTTGTTTTGTCAAGGCGTTCCGGGAGCGGGAAAGACCTTCCAAATGGCAATCCTAGTCAACAACCTGATGGAAAAATTTCGAAGTGATGACACAGTTGGTGTCGCCTACTTATACTACAACTTCAAGAAGCAGCAAACCCAGAAAGCAGAGCATATGCTCGCAAATATTATTAAACAACTCGCCCAGATTTCAAGACCTTTTCCCGAATCAGTGCACCAACTGCGCGAACGACATAGCCCCACGAGAACTCGCCCATTCCTCGGAGAACTTTCCGACACCCTCACAGTGGTTATCCAATCTTTTTCACGGGTATTTATTCTCATTGATGCTCTCGATGAAGGGGATGACTGTGAACGTACGAACTTTTTGGGCCAGATGTTTGCCGTGCAAGAAAAGTCTGGGTTTAACCTATTCGCAACATCTCGAACTGTCAACACTATTACGGCTACGTTTGAAGGATCTCTGTCTAGGAATATTTCACCATCTCGTCATGATATTTTCCAATTCCTCGAGACACGCATGTCGGAGCTACCATTATTCGTAGCAGGCGATATAATTCTTCAAGATGAGATCAAGGCGTCTGTTGAATCAGCTATCGGAGGAATGTAAGTGTTGTACACTGGTGAAGCGATGAACAACTTTGCGTGCTAATATTTACACCTAGGTTCCTTCTTGCCCAACTGTACATCAATTCTCTGATGGGCAAAAGATCCCCGGCAGCACTCCAAGTAGCGCTCAAAGACATACGCCGGGCTTCATCATCATCGGATAAATCAAGAGTATTAGAAGAGGCGTATGATAAGTCCATGGAGCGAATACAGCAGCTGAAAGGAGATTTGCCCTGTGACGGATTACTGATACTTTCTTGGATTGTCAAAGCGAAAAGACAGATGAAATTAGCAGAGTTACAAGAGGCTCTTGCTGTTGAATTGGGTTCATCTGAACTAAATAGCGACAACATCCCAACTGTTGAGCATATAACAGAGGCTTGCGCTTCCTTGGTAGTGATCGAGGGAGATACCCTTGAGCTCGTACACTACACAGCTCAGGAATACTTCGAGCACCCAAACAACAAGTGGATGCAAAAAGCCCATGAAAACATAATGCAAATATGCATGGCGTATCTCTCTTTGTCAATTTTCGGAGATAAACCATGTCTATCACAGAAGAGCCTGAATAAGCGAATCGAAAACAATCCTATGTACAACTACACAGCTACGTACTGGGCGTATCATACAAACGAAGCTTTAAACCAAGATTTGGAAGTTTCAAGGGCAATTGAATTTCTTGAAAATGGCCAGATTCGAGGATCATGGTATCAAGACCTACTATATAGCCACTTCCGTTTCGAGCCTGATTTTATTCCGGCTCAGTTAACTGCGCTACACGTCGCAGCTTTCTTCGGCCTACATGACGATGTCGTCTCAAGGCTAATCGAGGAAGGGCACAGTCCGAACGCTAAAGATTCGCTATCACGAATGCCGATATGGTGGGCTGCATGGAATGGACATGATAGAGTCATACAGCTTTTAATTGAAGTAACTACAGACCTGGAAACGAAAGATGTGGAGTATGGCTCGACGCCGCTACACATAGCTGCTCTGCTAGGTTATGAGAAGATCGCCGAATTACTCCTCAAAAAATATTCGATAAACTCTACATCTCTGAAAGGCTGGACACCATTGAGCCTGGCCCTCCACCACGGACATAAAATCCTTGCTGAGCTGTTCGTTGAAAAGGGAGCAAATATCGAAGCTACAGGCAGCTCTCATCAAACACCACTAGCTATAGCTGCAATGGAGGGGCATTTAGACGCAGTTAAATGGCTGATTGAGAAAGGGGCCAATATTGAAGCACGGGACTGTAACAAACAGACCCCGTTAATATTGGCTACAATAGGAAAGCACGACAATGTTATGCGGTATCTCATTGAGAAAGGCGCCAACAGAAAAGCTATGGATAACAACAACGAGACGTCATTTACCACATCCCTTCAAAGAACCCAAAAGAGTGTTACGAAACTCTCTATCGGAAAAGGGGTGAGCCTAAATAAGGCCATGTCAAATAAATATACACCGTTAACTTCGGCCATCAACGACGCAGATTATGACATGGTTAAATTGTTAATCAAGAGAGGTGCCAACTTGGACGGTCTCGATAAACATGGCAAGACTCCATTACTCACAGCCATCGACAGAGGAAATAAAGATATGATTGAATTCCTGATTGAGAAAGGGGCTGGCTTGGAGGTTAAAGGTTGCTCAAGTGGTGATACACCGCTGATATTTGCCACGAAGCAAAACTGCTTGAATTTCGCCAAACTGCTTATTGAGAAAGGGGCCAATTTGGAGGCGCAAGATGATGAACTTGCGGCGACTGCAGTGAGCCATGCCGCTGAACACGGGTTTACAGAAATTATCCAACTGCTTCTCGACAATAATACCAATATCGAGACAAAAGATAATGACGGTGATACGCCATTATGTGTTGCTGCTTATTATGGGCAAACTGCAGCAATCCAACTACTTCTCGAAAATAATGCCAACATCGAGACAAAAGGTAATAAC